CAGATAGATGTGTTGAGTTTTCGATGTAAAGATCCTTACACCTAACCCACACACACACTTTGAAGGCACTCCACGGGCAGCGAGTACTATTGATGTCTCAGAGCTAGAACTCATCGGAATCGAGATAACAGATCTTGAGGAATAAAGATGAGATCGAGATTTGAGAAGAAATCGAGATTAGAGAAGAAAACGAGAGAGAATCTTCGATTTTGTATTTCTAATTTCGATTTGGTATTCTAGGGTTCGAGCTTAATCGAATTTGGGAGTTTTCATTTGATTAAACGACGTCGTTTCGCTTATTAACGGATATATTAGACGGACAGATAACAGCGTCTTAATCCTCCGTTTGTCCAGTTAAAGACGTGCCTCAATCGGCTTCGTCAACGAAAGTTAGAGATTAAATTGAAAGTCAACTAGAAATTGAGGATTAAAAGCACCATGCTCAAAGTTCATACTTTAAACCTCCACAAATGGCAAAGTGACGATTTAAATGACATTTTTCCCATTAAAAAAAATATTAAACTATCTTTATTTTTTTGTCGGCCAACTATTTTTCCATTAAAAGGAAAACCCAAACTTGGGTTTACAAGTGGTGGGTCGAAACCCAAATCCCACAACATTTGCAACTTTAATTAAGCTTACAACAGTAACCCTAATGATAATGGTAAATATTAAATGATCCCCTGCTCTCATATTAAATGATCTTAGGTGTAGAAAATCAAATACATAAATTATTTCCCAGAAAATTTTAATATAGTAAGTAGGCCTGGACATAAAACCCGAAATCCGAAAACCGATTCGAAACCGATCCGAAAAATCTGGAACCGAACCCAAACCGAATAGTCACAAAATCCGAACGGATAATGAATTCTCCTATCCGAATTACCCGAACCGAACCCGATCCGAACCGAAAACCGAAAGGATATCCGAAAACCGGAAATAAAAATTATATATCCAAAAATATTAGTTATATTTAGTTGTAATTTTATAGCAAATAACAAAAATATCCTAAATATCCTAGATTTGGGAAAAAATTTAGTTATATTTGTTAAAATTATACATATTTTTGCAAAATTTAACCAAATTTTAGTAAGATTAAACCAATTTTTATTAAGATTGAACTATTTTTAAGTTTTTTTTCCCGAAAACCGATCCGAATCCGACACCTATCCGAACCGAAACCGAACCGATGACTCATAAAATCCGAACGGATAATAAATTCTCCTACCCAAATTATCCGAATCCGAATATATCCGAACCGAAACCGAACCGAAAAATCATAAAATCCGAACGGATAATAAACTCTCATACCCAAATTATCCGAATCCGAATATATCCGATCCGAATCCGATTTGAAATCCGAATGCCCAGGCCTAATAGTAAGTTTAAAATGAAATTAGTTTTTTTTTTGGGGTCAACTAGTTCCGGTTTAAATTCGATTGCGTGTTATATGCTTCACCAAACCGGTTTAGATCGGTTTAAGGATCTAAGTTGACTCATCATCATCTTCCAGATTCCAAATCTTTCTTCTCTCTTACCAGATCGTCGACGCTTTGACCTCTCTCGCAATCTCTTCTACAAGTGAATCGCCGGATCTTCCTGGGAATTGAACATAATTTAGGGTTTCGAGATTGTTCTCTCGTAATTCTTCCTTCTCTCTGCCCGATGGCGAACAATAGCTCACTGGAAGCTTCTCCTTCTCAACCACCGCTCGTAAGTTTCCTTTAACTCTTTAATCTTTTAGGATTTCAACGGTGGTGTTAGCTAAACTCATTGTTGAATTTGTGGAATCCTAGTTTCTGGAAGTTTTTTGTGAAGTTTCTGGTAAGGAATACCGATTCACAAGTGGTACAAAGGCGAAATTTGCTGTCTCTGTGATTAACAAGAAACTTGGTTCGTTAAAACCTAGAGTAGTGTTCATTGAAGCAGTAAAGGATGGTGAAGAACCTATCAGTTTTGGTGATGATGCTTGTCTTGTCAATTACGGACATGGTTGGAAGTTGAAGACAGTGGTTGATTCTGATTTTCCTGGTAATTTTAGTTCTTGTCAAATTTCATGATTTAGATTACAAGTCTTGTTACAGAATCGTGATTGGTGCATATGAAGTTTAGTTTAGTGATGGAGTTACAAATAATCTTATGGATTTGTAAATGGTGCTCATAGTCATAGTGACACCTCTACTCATAGTCATAGTGACAATTCTTTTTCTTGTTATATGTATGGAAGAGCAAATTTCAAAAAGCATTTTGCTCTTGGTTTTGGATGAAATATAACTGTGGTGATTCAAATGCTGATGTTCGTGGTATACATTTTGTGATGCATCGAAACCAATGGGAATGGTTACGATGTGATAGAATTTTTCAAACTGCAATCTGGACTTCTTTACCTTGTGTTAATATGTTGTTTCTAACCTTTTCTTTTTTTTTATGCAGGAACTGAGAAAAACAATCTACAACAGCACTTTCCTTCTGTAATATCAATGGTAATTAGCTTGACTTTGTTAGTAACTTCATAGCAAGATGGTGTTAGGAATTTCTTTATACTTTATGCCGTCGTGATTACCCTTTGTTTCCAACTTCTACTGGGAATATTATTCAATGCCAAAGCTCAAGTAGAGTGAAGAGAGCTAGAATCATAGATTGATAGTAAATTGACTTTGAACAAAAAAAAAAAAAAAAGATAGTAAATTGACAATACGCTTCTTCTTTCACTAAGAATCTTTTAATTATCACATAACGTTTCTCAGCTCGTTTTCTTGCTTGAGATCCTGTGTTGGTTTCATATCCTTTTGCTTTTGTTATGTTTGTACCCTGTGGCCATTCTTTACAAATCGGATTGTAGAAAAATGCTTCAGCGTTTTGCGGTTTGCTTTTGCAGGATTCCAAAGATTCAAAGTACACAAAGGATTCAAGACCAGAAATTGGAGATCAGAGTCTAAAATACATTGGAAGAATATTTTTTGCATTTGTTTTGATGTTTATTCTTGGTGGCCTCTTCACAGTGGCTCTTGAGAACCTTCCCAGACTTATATTGCTCTTTAAAAACTCGTCCATGTAAACAATTGACACTGTCCAAACACAAAGACATGTGGAGATGTATCTGTCATTCTTTTTCTATCTTTACTAGTTCATTTATAAACGTATTTTGAGGCATATACAGTTTTTTTTGTTGACATCAATGTATTTGAGGTTATATATATAGTCTTCTCACACTGGCCACAATAAACTTTTTTTTGGTATCACTTCCATTTTCCAACCTTTTTTTTTTTCTTTTTCTTTTTTCTAACCACATGTATTCTCCTTATTATCATTATGTGCATGCTTATGCAAAAGAGCTCAATGAAGCATAATCTTTGAAAGGAATTTACTGTTTTGGTGATTATATTAGTTCAGTGGATCAGCAAGCTGTGTAATTTACTAGTTGATATAGTTTCTCTTGCGGTTTCACATAATATTTTGCATACTTCTAAACTTCTGGAAGTCCGAAATACTTTATAACCACTTCTTCATTTAGTTTAGGTTGTTTCATAATCGATATTAACTCGGTGAGACTGCACACTTGGTTTATTATGAATGTTTATCTAGATCCCGGGATTTGGAGTTCATGGTAGACTTGCGATGGAGTTTGGAGCAAAAAAAAGAGCCAACATGGAAAAACTTTGAAGATATGGACTTTGGAGGCTTGGAGCATCAGACTACTCGTAGTAGGAAAGGATGCCGGTTGGCTTGCCTCTTGATGTGACGAGTACCAGACCTGCACCACTTGTATTATGCAAAACAAAGAGTACCACACGACAAGGGTATTGGCATGCCATCCTTTGGCCAAAACAGGTACTGCCTCAATTTGACTAAGTTATCCGGGTTGTCCCAAATGCAATTTCTTTTTTCAAAACCTCTGTTTCTTCTATATAGTTAGGCTAACTTTTATTTTATTGAGTTCAAAACCTAGTTTTGCAACTAAGAACTTTAGGGAGGAGATCTCACAAAATTACAGCACTTTGGAGAAATCTTCGAACCTCTTATCTACCTTTGTCAATGTAATAATGTTTTCCATGGTTTCTTCTAATGCTTTGATGTTTATTATGTGTGAGTAGTTCTTCAACTGAGTTTAGTGGTTTTGAAGGGTTTAGGAATTGAATGAATTAGGATGTTAACTACGGATTTATAACTCTGTTTCTTTCTTTCTTTTTAAATCTAGATTGCTGTTAGTGTTAGACTGTTAGGGGATGGATCTGCTCCCATCCAAACGGGCTTCGGAAAAAGCCCAATCTAAAATATTCCAAGAACGAGAACGGACTTGACTCGAATTAAGGCCCATATCGAGAAATGGCCCAACGACAAAGCCACGTCTTTGGGTCAAGAGGGGCATTCTCGGAAATTAACAGGAGACGGGACCGACCATGAGACCCTATAAATACCGAAATAGAAAGTATTGTTACAAATCCGCAATTGACGCTAACACGGAGAGAGTACGTCTCAACTCATCTTCAAGCTTCTCAGTTCATCTTATTTAACCTTCAGTTCGGCTTCGGCCCTAATAAGCTATTTGGACGAGATAACTCTTTGTAACCAACCCATTTCACATAAGTTCGGGCTCGTCTATAAAACAGAGCTTCTTACTTCCCTTGAGACTCAATCCGTACTTGTGTGATATCGTGCATCAACAATTGTTTTTATTGCTAGAACTTGATTCACTACCTAGTCGTGGATCTTAGGGATTTTAACACACTAAAACTGTATGCTAGAAAACCGTTACAAAAAGTGCATGCTAGAATGTCTGGAAATAACCTAGATAAACAAATAATTCGTCTCTAGCCAATGAAAGTTGACTTAGAAAAATATGTGAACTGATCAAACATGAATTTTTATGTTGAGTTCAAATGACGGTTTATGATTCACATAATTTATAGGCATAAAGATTAATGTTTTGAAAGAAAGTTGTGGTTTGATATGATTTAAGTTCTAGAAATGTTTTTTATGCTTTCCTGAATTTTCACGAAACACCATGATGTCAAATAATTTAAATCTTATTGGATCTTCATTTAATTTTTCTTATAATTTGTTTAGTTGTTTCGTCTTAGAATCTCTACTTTCATAAATATTTTACATGATATTTTGGTTTTTAAGAATTCGATGATTCGATCTCATATACAACCGTGCACTTGCGATTTAATTTGTCGAATTAAAACTTGAGTTATCATAACTCTCTAAATTATCGATGGTGTTAAGCGAAAGAGTCGGTTTGAGAAGAAAGAAAGGTAACTACGATTCTATAACGCATTGGTAGCGTGATGAGCTTACCAAAATGATTTGTTTCCACAGCTAAAATTATAAAGTAAAATTGTAACCAATGTCAAATGATCTATAACATGTATATACAAAGAACAATCAATGAATTACTTAATTAAGTGTTTCTTATTTTCATTTTATAACGCTGCTAGCTTCTAAAAAATTTATTTGCATCTTATTATTACCGATCTAACCTTATTATTTCCCGTTTTTTATAGCTTTCCCGCCGTTTAATTTAAACATAATCGGTCACCAACATGCATGACATGACCATTCACCTAATAAGACCCACATAAATATTATATTTTAATAGTCCAGACCACATAATTATTGAACAAATTAGCTCATAGAGGGTCTAAATGGTAATCGAGGAATCTAGCTGAATCCGGCTGAATTGCTGAATATGGCTGAATTTTTAGTGATTTTTAGCTGAATCTAGCTGAATTTTTATATTTTGAAATGGTAACCGCTGAATCTAGCTGAATGTTTTTGTGATTTTTGGTAGAATCTATCAAAATAATAAAGACTTTAACTGGAAAATATCGTCAAATAATTATGAATATTAATAAAATAATTAAGAAAATATCAAAATAAAATAGATAAAATTATCTAATGATCTAATTAACTGTTATACTAATTAATAAATACTAAATTATCTAAAATAAATACTAATATAAATAATATATTGGTTAGTAAATTTGAGTTATTCTTCCATATTTAATTTTTAAACTATGAAATATGTAGATAATTAATGAAAAGCTTTGTAAAGTAATATTGATAATTTAATTTAAGAAATTAACATGGTAATATAATATAGATTATCTAATTGTTTATTTTATGTTGTTTTTGCGAAATTTTACATTATCTAAAAATTATTAAAATTATCCAAAAATGTCTATAGTTATCCGAATATGAATTCGTCTCTTGTATATTGTGGAAGTGATATATTATGTATCTGAATTATTTATATATCGTATGTGTATAATCTGACTTATTTTAAAAATATAAATTTGATGTGTAATTTTTGATATCCAAAATATTTTAATTCGACTTATGCGCTCGTTATTATCCAAATTTTTACTAGATATAAACGTATCTACGTTTCTGTTGGTGCTGAAAAAACTATTGAATCTGGCTGAATTCAGCTGAATTTAGTTTTATGCAAATGGTGATGCGGAATTGCTGAATCTAGCTGAATCCGACTGCATGTTTTTGTTATGTTACCATTTAAGGCCAGAATCAAAGCTATAATGTAAGATTATTTAAATAAAAAATCTAAACAATCAGGTAATAGCAAACTCCATGCAGATCTCGATGTTCTGTCTCCAAAAAATGGCCTAATGGGACAAAATCAGACGAATAACACAATTTCCGAATCAAAAAACACGAATCAACAAATTTTAAAATTACAAGTCGTTATAAATATAATATGAAAAATTTATTTTCTATTTTTTTCACTACAAGAAAACATGTGTTTTGCGAGGGAATGATTCCTCGTAAATCCCTCGCAAAACGCTTGTAGCAAAGGATTTGCTACGCCACGTCATTCTTCGCAAAACGCGACTCGCAAATGTAATATCTTGCAATTTCCTCGCAAATTTTGGGAGGAACATATTCCCTTGTATATTTTGCAAGGACCACAATCCCTCGCACAAAGTACGAGTAGCACTTCCCTCGCACATTTTGCTAGGGATTTGCAAGTCTTTTGCGAGTCTTTTTTTTTGTTTTTTCATTTACGAATTTTATCCTGAATTATTTTTTTTGTGATTTTAATTTGATTTTCAAAAACATTCAAAAACATAAATGAAATCAGTAAACATTCAAAAACATTAACTCCTAAATGATTCAAAAACATAAGTGTAGATTACAAACCAAATCCAAGTCTTAAAATAAACTTCAAGTCTTAAAACAGAGAGAAATTAAAAAGCTTGTGAAGTAGAGGAGGCTGGTCTGGTACCAGTTCCTGTCTCAGTTCCGCCGGTCTGATCGCCTCCGGTCTCCTTGCCCTCCGCAGTTCTTGTGGCGTCTGCATTTGCCGGTTCAGATGGTCCTCGATACATGCCTGCAAACACTGGATCCTTCTCTGCGAGGTATTCAAAATAGGCATCGAAGCTATGGATCTTTTCAGCCTGAAGTTGAAGACGAGCTTCAGCAGCAGCAAGCTTCTCCGATAGAATAACCGGATCATTATGAGTAGGCGCTGGACCAGCAGTGACTGAGGATGCTTCATGCTGCAGAGAACCAACCCCATACAACCTTCCTTTCTTCCTTGGAGCAACCTGATACAAACCACACAAGTATAATGAGTGGACTGCCAAGAGACTAAGTACTAATGAAATAATCACACAAGTATAATGCTAACAAGTATGCTGCTAATTAACATCATCACACAAGTATGCTGCCAACATCATCACATAATCACATAATCACACAACACAAGTATAATGAGTGGACTGCCAAAGACTAAGTACTAATTAAAGAAACTTTGAATTGAAATATACAGAATTACCTGAGCATAAATCTTGTTCTTGGCAGCCACTGATAATCCACCTGAAGCAGAGCTCTCTGTATTATCCCCTGTAAACAGCTGAGACTCCTCCTTTTCAATCCTTGATGACACTTCCTTGTAGATCTCCTCTGACTTTCTATCAATGAAAGTCCCATCAGGTTTGCGATGAGTTTGCTCAAGAACCACCAGAAAATCTGGAGTTGAATCACCAGTCTCTTCACACTAAAACAAAAGAAAAAAAGTTAAGTGTCAGTTCAATATGCATAAGTATATGTATGAGAAAGAAAACAGAGTTAACTTACATGCTTTCTGGCACGGGATTTGAAAGAGATCTGGCCAGAACGGTGTTTAGATATACCAAGGCCATCTGGATCATTATATCAGGCATTTCTACTGTTGATACTCTTAATTTCTGATTTAGGATCACGCCAAAAACGAACAAGTCCAGCCCACACTTGAGGATCAATCCATTTAGGCTTTGCCTCATCACCTTTATTCTTCCACTTTCCCTTCCACCGAGAAACTTGATCAGACATCCTATCCTTCAACTTGTCCTCAAACTCATCTCTAACTCTCTTTTATGGACTTGTCCCAGTTGTACATTTGCTTCAAAATAAAAAAACAGAGTTAGAAATAGCATCACATACATTTGTAGAGTAAAACAAAGCTAAACTAAACAATTTCACTTACCGCAAAAGTCTCATACCAACGATTGACCACTGCATCAGGAGTCTGTGTCCAATTGGCATGAGGTTCCTTGAAATCTCTTTCAAAAATCTTGCGGACAGAAGCTGCAACTAAACCATCAATGTTAAACCTACAACAAAAAAATCAATTACAATGAGAATCTACATTATTAAAATAAAATGAATCATATATACAAACCTAAGTAGAACCAAAACTGAAATTAAATTTAAAGTAGAACCAAAATCTTCCTTACCAGAGAGTTCCCGGAGGACGATTTGGATCTAGTCTCTGAAGAGACTGATTCCCCGGACTGTCAAGGAGCTCCTCCAATGTTAGATCGTTGAGACGCCTAGTTGGTAGTTGAGTAGCTGAATGAGATGGGTTAGGCGAGTTTGGATTGGATGGTGGAGGAGACAGACCGGCTTGTTGGTTTTGACTGGCTGGTGAGGGTGGATTACATTTTCTAGATGCATTCCCTTGAGATCTGGAAGCACGAGGAACAGTCCCTTGAGATCTGGAAGCACGAGGAACATATGCATTTTGAGTAGATAGAAATCTACTGTAGTCGTTTCCAGAGAAAGACATCTAAGAGAAAAGAAAGAAAATATTAGTAACCAAAACAGAGAAAGAAAACAGAGAAAGATGCACGAAATCAAACCCTAAATCAAACTTTAATCTAAACCCTAATTAAAACCCCTAATTAAATCCCCAAATCAAACCCTAAATCGATTAAGAGCCCTAATTGAAACCTGATTTAAAACCCTAATTGAAACCCTAAATCAAACCCTAAATTAAATCCCCAAATCAAACCCTAAATAGATTTTAACCCACAAATAAAACCCTAAAGAAACCCTAAATCGAATTAAAACACGAAATTTAACCATAATAATAAAGAATAAAGAGAGAAAACACTTAAACCTTCAGATCTGAGAAGAGAGAATCGCTGAAATAAGAGATCGGAGAAGAGAGAATCGCCGAAGAGAGAATCGCCGAAAGAAGAGAATCGGCGAAAGAAGAGATCGAAGAAGAGAGAATCGCCGAAGGAAGAGAGAATCGGTGAATTAGGGTTTTCGCGATATGCGGCTGGTTTGAGCTTTCGCTCAAACTAGGTCATTAGTATATATAGATATATGACACGTCGCAAATCCCTCGCAATATTTGTTAGGATTTTGCGAGGAACCGCCAAAACAACCAATCAAAACGAGGCATATATTGCGAGGGAATTGCGAAGTTACATAGTAAATCCCTCGCAAAATCTGCATTAGGGTTTTTAAAAAACACAAAGACATGCTTAATTATTCATTTTCTAGTTCATTTTTCTATTTCTAGAAAGTCCCTCCGAAAAAAAAAACATGACTAAATATTTTACATATTTTAGGGTTTAGGGTTTAACATTGCGAGGGAAGTGCTACGAATACCTTGCCAATCCCTCGCAAATTCTTTATTTAGGGTTTACATTTGCGAGGGATTTACCAGAATCCCTGGCAAACCTCTCACAAAGCCCTCGCAAAATACAGACCAATTTGAAAAAAACAACAAAACACTACAAAAAATCATTAAGATTCATTTTTTTGAATCATTAAGAAGTTAATTATCTACATTAGAATCTACTTTCTCATCATATACTTCGAATTCGTCCGAATGTGCATTTTCTTTCAAATACATCAATGATCATCTTATGTTTTTCTATAATATGAATCAATGTTTATAACATTTTCAAAAGAAAATGATAATATTGAAACCTATCCAACATTATTTTATGCATCACCATATATTCAACTTGTCTGATTATATGGTCTCTTAGATTCACATTTATAAGAGAAAATCATAGATCGCAAAACAGTTTTACGTATTTTAGGGTTTAGGGTAAAGATTTGCGAGGTATGTGTGGGTGATTTGTGACGGAGTAAATATTTCCCGCAAAGTACTCGTAAGTCCCTCGCAAATTTGCGAGAAAACTTTCCCTCGCAATATTTGCGACGGAATTGCGACGCGCGTCCTTCGCGTAGCAAATTACTTGCAATACCCTCGCAATTTTGCGAGGGATGGCTTCCCTCGCAAAGCTCGGTCGCAAAGCGACTGTTTTCTTGTAATTTATTTCAATATGAAAACATGAATATCGAAATATTTAGTACTATTTTTCTAGTATGCACTAGTAAGGGTTTTTTAATATAATTTTTAGTTTTCTGTAAGTTTGGTCTGCAATAATAATAGTTAAGTTTCTCATTTATTTCACCATGCAGATCTCGATGCTAGCTCTATCATGACAAAGTCAGATGGATAACACTATTCAGTAAGGGTTGTCTGCATGATACACGTTTCTCACTTATTTGTCATGAATAATTTTTCTAGTCCAAATTATTGATCCGTTGATAATGATATGCAAGAGAAGAAAATGTATGGTAGCTAGGTAGTTCGTAAAAAGGTGATTTTGCTCTGTATTGCACAAAAAAGCTCTAGTTGACTAAAGTTCGTTCTAGTAATCAAAAAGTGGATGGTAACGTAGAGTTGAGGTAGCGGTCGAATCCAGATAAACTGGAAATATAGGTATGTAGGAGGATACGGTTCCATTTCCGCTAGAAGGAGCAATTTATCGAAGGTTGGTCTCGGTTCTGGAAAATGTATGAGACCTAAATTATCAAAATAAATAAATAAAATTAATAAGGTTCAATAACAGTAGTCTTTTCTGAAAATCACAAAACATAAATAACCAAATCCACTTATACGCTCAAAACACTTATATAATATATGTAGATGTACAGGATCGTTTTACAAGGGAAATAAAAACTTTACCGTTGATGTATCCCATTGCATCTAATTAAAGACCTCCCAATTAATGTTCACATGGATCCACAAATTGACTCATGAGTGACTAGTTTCTTCAGTGAGTCGAAATCCTCTTACATGCATCATATAATCCCACCAAACGAAAATAAGAATCAACAAGCAAACAAATTGACAACCAACAATCACATGCTTGTGGAAATGTTCAAGTCACTAGAAAAATTACAGGTTCATTCTATTTGACTCGGTTAAAGGACTTCCGCATCCGATCATTCCCCATTACCATTAATGCATCATTTAGTCATGTAGGAACAAAGGCCAGCCAAGTCTAAGTTCAGTCATTTCTTTGTTTTTTGTGTGTGTGTAGAGTATATGTCACAATAGAGTTGCCTAACAAACCTCCAAAACATATCAATTGCATTACAACTCTACTATTCCTATATCATACTTCTCGTGTAACTACGTGGTTCATGTAGATTCGATCTCATCTATATTACTGTGATTGATTTGCACTTACAGTTATTAATTGTGATAAAATTTGGCACACATCAAAGCCTTTTGTAAAAAGGTTTACAGATAAAATAAGTCTGCCAAAAAATAATCATCATTAAAATATAACTCAAGTTTGTTAATACTTCTTTTGTCCTACTATTTAGGCTTTTTTGTGTTTTATTTTATTAGATTTTCTCAAGATTATGCACAATTTATATTAACTTAATAGTTTATGATTATTTGAATTGTGCAATATTTTTTTATATGTTGAATTTTTATAAATGAAAAAACATTTATTATTTATTATTTTTGTGCTTTTAGCAAAACAAAATCTCATAAATGGGATAGGAGTACATATGTAGATACAAATCTACTTGTATATAAAGTTACATGACACTTTCAAGTGTTTAAACTTGACAGATTTATCAATATTGGCATACATACACAAGAAGCAAGATGGCATTTTCGTATAGTTTTTCGTAAATAATGTAAAAAAGAATTTGATACAAAAATATAAGAAATAATAATTAGGAAACTTTTGAAAGTATCATTTTATAATTAAAATTTAAATAATAGTTGAACTCTGGAAAATATTGTGGTGATTATAAATAAACTTATGATATTTTAAATTATCTAGCAAATCATTTTTTTAAACAAGAAGGTAACAAACGAGGGACCCGCATAGGCCTATTCTCACATGAGTACACCTATAAATTTGGAATGTAACACCTCTCTAGCAACACCAAAAAAGAGAGACAAATATAGAAACAAAGTCACAATAAAAATGTTTCTAAACGCGAAAAGAAAGGTCAATTTGAATGGAGTGATCTTATTGTTCTCTACCTTCTTTTGTGCTGCAACCATTCAACTAAATCCAATAACTACAAGAGAAAACAACAATCCAGTGCCTTGTAACACTCACGGTTCAAGGGCTGCAGTGATTAATGGTGGAGACACTAAGCTATCGGTCGAACAACGATTTATGCGACCCCGTCCACCAAACGCTTATTGTGTGCGGATCGAGGCGTGCAGCGAACTGCTGACTACTTCTCCAAGCGTGGAAAAGTACGAGACGCGTCCATTCAGCGTGGGCGGATTCAACTGGTACAAAATTAAAATTAAACTTCTTATAATGCATATTTTTAACTCTACATTCTGTAATGTATTTTTCTTATACGGGAGATCATTTATAGGACTTTTATCCTCCAACCGTCCGGGAACAAGACTAATTTAGGGACTTGGATCTCTGCATATGTTGCAATAGATCCTTCAGGGCTAGTTGGCGAAAATCGCGAGGTTTATGCAGATCTCAAGTTTCTGGTATATAGCAAGGCTTACGATCAGTACTTGACATCTATAGGTATATAAAGAATTATTTTGATCAAGCTCCTTCAATGATGACACTATAATATGGAAATTTAATATATGCAGACACGGAGATGAGGCGTTTCCATCAATTCAGAACAACTTGGGGGACTCCAAATTTTACCCGACATTTTGATTTTAACGCTAAAGATAAAGAGTACATTTTCGACAATGACCAATGTGTATTTGGTGTAGACATATCGGTTTATCCTTACTTTAACAAATGGGAAGTTTTGTCGATCGATAAGACGGTCTATGGGCCTAAGTCATGGAAGCTTAAGAAATTCTCTACATTGATCAAAGACTTTTACATGTCGGATGAATTCTCCATCGGAGGAAAAAAATGGTGAGTCCATGATACGCATAAATCAATAAAAACTTACTAATTCAATTTCTTATTATAAATTCTTAATTTATTCAGGGCACTTAAAGTGTATCCAAATGGTAAAGGTACTGGAGTGTTGATAAGCTTGAAGAGTAACTTAAACGTGAAGTTACTAAAATAAAGGAAGAGATATTACTAGGAATTATTTAGGAGTTATCTAAATAATGTTTAGGAGTTATCTAAGTTTAATCCTAGTTTGATTTGGAGTTATCAAGTCAAGTCTCTATATAAGAGTTGCCAATGGTGTGGTTAACCTAACGAGTTTTGAGAGAGATTGAGAGGAGACTTTAGTTTTGAGATATTTTCTAAAGTAATAAAGGAGAGTTATTCTTGTTTTGAGTTCTTAATCTCTTTCTTAAATTCAAGAATTGGTATCAGAGATTAGGAAAGTTCTAATCGTACGAAGAAGACATGTCCGAGCTCGCAGTTGCAACCGAAACACTGAAGGAAGGAGGAGGATCCTCCTCGATTAAATGCCCGATGTTGAACTCCACAAATTACACAGTCTGGGCCATGAAGATGAGAATAACACTCAGAGTTCATAAAGTTTGGGATGTCATAGATCCAGGAACAGAACCGATTGATCCTGATAAAAGCGACATGGCTACTGCTCTGTTATTTCAATCAATCCCTGAGACACTTGTGTTACAAGTCGGAAAACACAACACAGCAAAGAAGGTATGGGATGCAATAAAAACGAAACACGTAGGAGCAGAGAGAGTCAAGGAGGCTAGGCTACAAACCCTCATGGCTGAATTCGATAGACTCAAGATGAAAGATGCTGAAAAAATTGATGATTTTGCTGGAAAATTGTCTGAGATATCATCGAAATCAGCTTCCTTGGGAGTGATCATTGAGGAACCGAAATTAGTTAAGAAGTTCCTTAAAAGTCTTCCCAGGAAGAGGTTTATCCATATAATAGCCTCGCTAGAACAGGTGCTGGATCTTAACACCACAGGCTTCGAAGATATTGTTGGACGACTGAAAGTTTATGAGGAACGAGTGTTTGAAGAAGAAGATGCTCAAGAAGAACAGAGCAAGCTTATGTATGCAAATACAGAGAATCAAGCAAATCGAGACTCTAATGGAGAGTTTGGGAGCAGAGGTCGAGGAGGAAGATTCAATGGAAGAGGAAGAGGTCGTGGAAGGTTTAATGGTGGAAGAGACCTAACAAAAATAACTTGTTACCGCTGCGATAAGATTGGTCACTTCGCCTCAAACTGTCCCGACCGACTACTTAAACTACAAGAAGTTCAAGAGAATGAGAGTGAGGATACACAAGGAGCTGATGAACTTATGGTGCATGAAGTGGTCTATCTAAATGAGAAAAATTGCATACCGAGCAATTATGAGACAAACATCGGAGAAGAAGATATTTGGTACCTTGACAACGGAGCTAGTAACCATATGACAGGAGATAAAAGGTACTTCAACAAGATTGATGAGTCTGTTACAGGGAAGGTTAGATTTGGCGACGATTCTCGGATTAACATAAAGGGAAAGGGATCAATATCATTCACTGACTTGAATGGTGAACCAAGACTAATGAATGATGTTTACTACATTCCGGATTTAAAGAGTAATATCATTAGTTTAGGGCAAGCCACCGAGTCAGGATGTGACATAATAATGAAAGGAAGCCATCTAACAATGCATGACTACAACGGGAAGTTACTGGTTAAGGCCGAGAGATCAAAGAACAGATTGTACAAGGTACGGATGGGGTTGAGGAACAACACACGGTTGTATTTAACAACAATAAGTGAGTCTAGTCGTTGGCATGCTCGGTTAGGACACGTAAATCTTGAGACAATAAAGTCTATGATTCAAAGAGAGCTTGTGCAAGGAGTTCCCCATGTTAAGTTTGAAAAAGAAGTATGCGGCTCTTGTTTACTTGGAAAACAAGCAAGGAAGGTTTTTCCCCAAGCTACCACATACCGAGCAACTAAGGTTCTTGAGCTCATACACGGTGACCTTTGTGGGCCTATAACACCAAGCACGAGTGCTGGAAATAGGTACATATTCGTTCTCATTGATGATTACTCTCGATACATGTGGATCAGTTTATTGAAAGAAAAGGGAGATGCTTTTGTCAAATTCAAAACTTTCAAACAAATGGTGGAACAAGAGTCTGGGGCTAGCATTAAAACATTCAGAACAGATAGAGGAGGAGAGTTTGTGTCTCAAGAGTTTAATGTTTTTTGTAATGACTGCGGTATACAAAGACATCTCACGGCTCCTTATACACCACAACAGAACGGTGTGGTGGAAAGGCGAAACAGAACATTAATGGAGATGGCAAGAAGCATCATGAAGCACATGAACGTACCGAACTATTTATGGGGAGAAGCAATACGTCACTCTACATATTTGTTGAATAGGATAGCTACAAGAGCTCTCAAGGATAAAACTCCATACGAAATGTTCAGGAACAAGAAACCAAACATTGATCACCTACGCATATTTGGATGCATTGCTTTTGCAAAGATAGACAAACCTCACCTAAAGAAGCTAGATGACAGATCAAGGATGCTTGTACACCTCGGAACTGAACCAGGATCAAAAGCCTATAGGTTATTGGATCCACAATCTCGAAAAATAATTGTAAGCAGAGACGTGGTGTTTGATGAATGTAGAAGTTGGGACTGGAATCACGGTAGTGCAGAGAGGAATAACAGTGGAAATTTCAGCATTGTTCTCGGGGAATTTGGAAATCATGGCATTCAAGAAAAAGAAGGAAACGTTGAAACAGAGAAAATTGTTGACAATGAAGAACAACCCGACGAAACAGAGGAAGTAAGCAATGATGATCAGTCCATAACAGAACAAGAGAGTGAACACGAGAATGAAACCGGAAATACTCAAGATCAAGCTCCACCACCTTTGAGAAGAACCGAGAGACAGATTGTGAAGCCAAAGTATCTAGATGATTATGTGTTAATCGCAGAGGAAGAGGGAGAGATGTTGCTTCTCTGCTTGAATAATGAACCTAGAAATTTTGAAGAAGCTAAAGAATCCAAGGATTGGACACTTGCGTGTGAAGATGAAATCAAATCTATCAAAAGGAACCGGACTTGGGATCTTGTGAAACTACCAGATGGAGCAAAACCAATTGGTCTCAAATGGGTGTTCAAGCTCAAACGGAACTCCGATGGCAGTATTAACAAGCACAAGGCTCGACTTGTGGCAAAAGGATATGTGCAGCGATATGGTGTCGATTTCGAAGAGGTCTTTGCTCTAGTAGCTAGAATTGAGACCATACGGCTCCTTATCAACCTTGCAGCATCAAACGGATGGGAGATACACCACTTAGACGTTAAAACTGCGTTTCTCCATGGAGAATTAAAAGAAACTGTCTTTGTCTTGCAACCGGAGGGATTTGAAGAAAAAGGTAATGAGGATAAAGTCTATAAGCTCAACAAAGCATTGTACGGGTTAAGACAAGCTCCAAGAGCATGGAACAACAAACTAAACCAAATTCTTTTAGAATTTAAATTCGCAAAATGCTCAAAGGAACCATCGGTGTATCGAAAGAAGGTGCAAGAAGATCTTTTGGTTATAGCGGTGTATGAGGATGATCTCTTTGTAACGGGAACAAGTTCAAATATCATTAACAAGTTCAAGAAAGAGATGGCCTCCAAGTTCGAGATGAGTGATCTAGGGAAGTTAACATACTACTTGGGAATTGAGGTAACTCAACATGAAGGAGGAATTATGTTGAATCAAAAGCGTTATGCACTGAAGATTGTGGAAGAAGCTGGCATGAAGAATTGTAACCCGGTTCAAACGCCGATGGAGGCAGGGTTAAAGCTATCTAAGGCAGAGAACGAGAAGGAAATTGATGCTACAGCCTACAGGAAAAATGTTGGTTGTCTTCGATATCTACTTCACACAAGACCTGACTTGTCCTATTGCGTTGGAGTCTTAAGTCGTTATATGCAAAGCCCTAGAGAGTCTCATGGGAAAGCTATGAAGCAGTGTTTAAGGTATGTACAAGGAACGGCTTCTCTTGGACTGATATTTGGAAAATCTTCTGCAAAGGTACCAAGACTGCTAGGTTATAGTGATAGCAGTCATAATGTAGATCCAGACGATGGGAAGAGCACAACAGGACATGTGTTTTATCTTGGTGACAGTCCAATTACATGGTGTTCACAGAAGCAAGATACTGTGGCTCTATCTTCTTGTGAAGCTGAATTTATGGCAGGTACAGAGGCGGCAAGACAAGCCATTTGGCTCCAAGATCTACTTAGAGAGGTCATGGGCACAATGTGTGAGCGGGTTGTCATCCGGATCGATAACAAGTCAGCAATAGCTCTCACAAAGAACCCGGTATTTCATGGTAGGAGCAAACACATACATACACGATACCATTTCATAAGAGAGTGCGTTGAGGATGGTCTAGTTGAAGTAGAACATGTTCCCGGTGAGGAGCAAAAGGCGGACATTCTAACAAAGGCTCTAGGGAGGATCAAATTCAAAGAGATGAGAGATCTCATTGGTGTTCAAGACTTGGCGGAAAACGACTTCAAGCTTAAGGGGGAAAATGTTGATAAGCTTGAAGAGTAACTTAAACGTGAAGTTACTAAAATAAAGGAAGAGATATTACTAGGAATTATTTAGGAGTTATCTAAATAATGTTTAGGAGTTATCTAAGTTTAATCCTAGTTTGATTTGGAGTTATCAAGTCAAGTCTCTATATAAGAGTTGCCAATGGTGTGGTTAACCTAACGAGTTTTGAGAGAGATTGAGAGGAGACTTTAGTTTTGAGATATTTTCTAAAGTAATAAAGGAGAGTTATTCTTGTTTTGAGTTCTTAATCTCTTTCTTAAATTCAAGATGGAGAAGGAAACTCATTGTCTCTTTATGTGATACTAAGTGGAAGCCAAACCTTGAAACCTTATGAAAAGGTTTATGTCCGAGCGAAACTGCGTGTTCTGGACCAAAAACAATCCAAACATCTCGAAAAACCAAGTAATATAATGTGTCAAAAGCTTATATATTATTAGGATCTTAATTAAATAAACTTCAATATTAATGTAACAAACAAATTTCTTATGTTCTTGGCAGTTCTGACATGGTTCAACACCACGGGAGAAAGCACGGGCTTCGACCAGTTCGTGTCTTTCACTGATCTCCAAAATCCAGCCAGAGGTTTCATCGTGAATGATACTCTGTCCGTACAAGTTGAATTCGAGGCTACCTCATCAACTAATTATTATTCTATCAGTCCTGCTCAATTTTTGAGTACTTTCTAAATGTTCAAATAAGAGGCTTCTTCACATGTATGCAAAGCAAATCTAAAAATAATAAAGATTGATATTAATGATTTTATTGTGCTGATTTTTTTTTTGTAAACTCTGTTAACACTCTATTTGATGTACACGAAACAAATGAGTCTGACTGACTTGTATATATTATTGTCTACATATTCATGAAATTAATATTACTTTGTTTTTTTTGTCGTCAATATTACTTCAAATCAGGATTTGCTCGTTTATTTAATCTACAAAACCAATTACAAGAGATTAAAGCTGAAAATAGAAGATAGAAAATTAAAGAAGAAATAGAAAAGCTGCCAAGAACAAAAATAAAAGTAGAGTGGAAAAGAAAATTTTCAAATGAAAATTAGGAAAAGCCTCTAATTGAGCTAGTGACTCGAGATTTTAAGCATGAGCATGGTTAATATGGTAAAGGTAGTGTTGGTTGTTGAAAACACAAGTCCAACAAGTGCTGTGTACGTTTCCAAAGCTTGGTTCCTTTGGCATCGTCAATGGTCTGCTCGATCTATACCCAAATATTTATATCAAAATACAATAAATTATGATTAAATAGATGATATAACCATATCAATCATATAATATTAACTGAATAAATTAGAAATAAAATTGGAATTTTGTAATATGTACTAGTTATACAAAACAACATTATTCTATGAAACAAAAATAAATTTCGAACACAATAATTAATGTTTGTAATGTAGGGAGGAGTATATATAACGATGATAACTGACCTCTGTGGGAGGAAAGGTCGGTCGAAGAAAGGCATCAATTGAGCTTTTGGAACCATTTCCTTCCTCAACATACGAATCTCTTCCTCTTCTATCATCTGTTATATATGGTTCGATTTAATAACGCGGCTTAACTTTGAGAATTCTTCTCAAACTAAGGTAAACCAAATTCCAAAATCTCTCACTGTTTTAGTTAAAGCAGTTTCCGTTCTATATCTACTTATGGTCTTGGTGTCATTAAAGTGAAATGTTAGAAATTTTTTTTTGAAATGTTTGATTTCTTAGACTATCATGATTCATATAAATAGAGAGGTTATGTTTAGTAGTCGTTTTTTTTTTTTTTTTTTAATTTACCTTTTGCAACCTTTCTTCTTGTTTTTTCTGAAGTTTCATGATATAATAATTAGTTGCAACCTGCCAAGATGATGAATGAGCTCCATGGTAGTTGAAAAAAATAACGATAAAATAAGAGATATTGAGGAAGTTTGTGTAAACCGAATAGTTGAACATTGCTCGTTTCACTGCTCTCTCGCCAGAATGAAGCTTGAATTCGAGAGGCTTTTTGTTCTCTTTTGCTGGTGCCTTTGTAACATTCTGATAAGTAAAAATATCAATGAGTAAATATGTTGAATTCGAATAAGATCTTATTTGAATGAAATGTTACTAATTTTTTTAATATTTTATATAGTTACCGGTGAGGCTTATAATTTATATAGTAAAATTTAACAAATGAAACGAGGACATAGATGAGAGTTATAACTTGTATATTTTCTTGGGTAAAATATATTCATGTAACATATGCATTTTGTTTCTCTTTTATGGGCTAAAGATATTGTGGATAGTTGTGATTATATTCGTTGTCCAAAAAAAAAAAGTTGTGATTATATTTATTTAAAAGAATTACAAAATTATATTGTTCATAGAATCTCTGTTTGGGTACCTTAGCCGCGGCTGCCTTGGTTTTGTCATGGGCTCTGTCTTTGAGTGGTTCCACTTTGGTCTACAATTAGATTAAGTAGGGGAATTCAATTTTTGTACGAGGGTTTACATTTAAATCACTGATTCACTATTCACTATATTATCTATGTATAAACTACGAAAACGATACTAACACACTGTAGTATTTATTTACAAACTACGAAAAACTAGACCCATTATTTACAAATTTTGACCGAGAGGTTCTTTTTTGTGTTAATTAAAGAGTAAGACAAAAAGTATACTTAGAATAGAACTCAACGTGTAGTTTTATTTAACTAATTTTGATTTACCATTGCTTGAAATGATTACACAATAAATGTTTTTAAAAAACACATACTTACACTTCTGGCTTTGTTAAAACTGTAAAAATTATTGGGACATTAGGACATCAAATGGTAACTAAATAATGCTGAAATTGGCAAATGATGTTACATAATTTGAGTTTTTTTTTTTTTTTTTTGGAATTGAAAAAGTGTGTGAATTTCCTACATGTGATTAAAGAAAACCCAAACTTAGACTACAATAAAAAAAGAGAACATTTGTTGAAAAAAAAAATGTGGTCTTTTATTTGATTAATGGCTAATGCCTTATTAGAAAAAAAAAAAATAGGAAAAGAAATTAAAAATGGAATCGTATCCTCACCATTCCTTTACCATTGGAACCCAGGGAGAGTACAGAAGAAGTAGGACTTGTTTTCCCAAACTTCGAAAACACGAAACAAAAACACTTTGTCAACATGTAAGTCTCTTTAATTTGTATTAGTTCATGTATATATTATTACAAACTTGCCCATTTTTATAAACGTGTGGAAATATTTTCGTGAAATGTGTATATACATATATGCGTGCACAAAAGTAACAACTAAAGTAACCAATTATTGAAGCAGACAAAGAAAAAGTAACCAATTATTGAATAACCTTGGGTGAGGATTTTGTGTATGATGATTTTCCAGTACACATGTTTAGGCGAAAGAGATATTTAATAATAATAAGTAGTTGTTAAAAACAGTGTATTAAAAACAATAACTCAACCAAAACACAAACTCCTTTACGAACTCTTTTTTTTTGTCACAACTTATTATGAACTCTAAATTAAAAAGAAGTGAAATAAAAATATTACTTGATGAGTGAAAGAGAGAAGAAATAAAGTGAATTTATAGAGAGTGAAGGACGAAGCACAGAGACACATACAAGTTTGGACATTAGTAGCTTTCTTAAGTGGCGTCTGTTGCTGCATCAGCAACAAGCTTTAATAAGGGTTTTCTTCATAACTTTCTTTGTTAATAACTTAATATAAATGAATAATGTTCAAAAAATGAATAAATGAGTATCGTATTCTATATTTGTATGTAATGTGAAGTCAACATAAGTACCTATGTTTTCTAGTTTGGTTGCATCTAAACTTATCTTAGTGAGTTAAATTATTTATAAAGAAATATAAAATTTAATATATCTTTGAGTAACATTTATATGATATGTAATACCAAGATTCTAAAAACAATATGATTGTGCAACTTTTTTTTAAAAATTTCATTTATCATCTATAGAATTGGCAAATAAAGTAATTCATATTAGTGAAACCAAAACCATGAGAAAGTGAAGAAGACATTACAAAATGATTGTAGTGAATCGGGAACTTTAATCGTGTGAATCTATATAACGCAGCCACTTCTATCTATCCTCTATGCTACCATAGATCCCGAAACTTACATCTACTATCTAGTAGTTATAAATTGTAACAAACAACCCTCAAATTACATGAATACTAATATTATTTTTAACTCGGTTTTTAAGAGATAAAAAAAACTTAATAAATTGTATATATAGATGTTATGGCAAAAACACATGTAAGTAAAATGAAGCTTATATAATTAATAGCTATATATAAACTAATAAACATATAGTAACCAATTAATAGTCGTAGTAGCCAGGAGTATTCGTCATATTTGATTGAATTAGTATTCCCAATATACATTTCCAAGCTATATATACTAACAGTCACATATTATTCAAAATTCAAAAGGAGTCAGAAACATTCATTCAAAGAATGAAATGAAAATTCTCTACATAGATAAATAAATATTTGCCGATTTCAGATTGATACTGTCCGACGAAAAAGCAAATTGGTAGAGCTCTCAAGCACCAAACTTTCTGATTAAACCTCCCTCTCATGCATGTCCGTAATTTTCGTAGCGTCCTTCATGGTTCCTTCACATCTCATATTTGGGATTTGTAAGTATTTGGATTTATTTAATTTTATGTTGTTAATGCTCGCAAACTTCTCGATGTCAAAAAGGATTTTTATTGTTTTCCCTTAATTAACCATTCTTCATGGGAGAATCATTTAACTTGTCGACACATTTTCATTACTCATATCAATTTAATATCTACGTACTTGGCATTTAGGGTGTAAATACGTAATTCGGATTTATAGAATAACGAGTAGTATTTTATGTGGATAATATTTTAAAATATTGGTTTGAGAAAGTTTGGTTATTTTTAGTAATTTTAGCAAATTTTAGATGATTTTAGATGACTTTTAAAATTTTGTAAGAACAATTTCTAATTACCTTAAAATATTATTGAAAATCTAATGATTTAAAATATCAAAATTTTAATATCTGCTAATCCTATTATAAATGAAGCTACCAGATGCTTTCATTTTATTTTTTTTTAAATAAAATTTTCAATTATTTTTTCTTTATTTTTTTTGTTAATCATTTACATGTTTTACTAGTTACAAAAACCATGGAAAAATATGTAATATTACTGTTTAAAAGTTTGGTTTATAAATCCACTATTCATTAAACAATCATATATATATATATATATATATATATATAATATTATTCTGTTATTATTTACAGATATTTAATCATATATTTTTCAGTTATTTCGCCGTATTCATTTCCATTTAGACCATTTGTTTTGCGTTAAAGTTGCATCCCATTGATTTTATGTGAATATAATCACACACACAATGTGAATATATAACCTTAACTGAAAACTTTTTTTTTATATATAGTTCACGTAAGTGCAAACTTAAATGGAAGAAAGAAGCACTTCACGTTTGGATTTGTGTTTAATCTACATAGATTAACTGTTAAAAGTTGCGTGTAAAACAATCGGGACTACAATGTCTTATAACCTGGATAATTAACCACATCGTTTTGACTTTTTTCTTCAAGTTTGTGTTTGCGTTTAGAATTTTTGAATCAGTTAGCAGGATTTTAAAATTGATCACAATCATAGTTTCCATTAAAAAAAAAAAAAGCAAATAAGTGAATGCTATTTTTTCCCATTTGAATGAGATTACCACACACAAAAGAATAAGGAACGAGATAATACATCTACGAGTAGATATAGCATTGTACACTTTGGAGTCACGTTCTCTTTAAGGGACTCGTGACCCTCTTTTTCCAAACAAAAGTGTCAAAAATTTAACCAATAGGTTGTTAGCCTAACAAACCCCAATCTTGAAATATTTCTTGGTGAGTCATCAATTTCGGAGAGAGTGGTCTACTGTTTATAAATCTGTCTTATTATATTATATGGTTAGTTTATTAATTATAAACGGAGGACTTTTTGTCAAATATATGTGAGAAAAATGCAAAAGGTTAAGAGGAATGTCATACTGTTAAGTTAGGTCCGTGATTGGAAAAAGGAACCTAACTCATGCAATTCTTATATCTCAAGTCTTTTGTTTTTGTGTCATGGGCATGGCAAAACACCAAAACATGCATGATTAGGGTTTAGTGATAAATTGACTACGTAACATCCATGAAAGACATGTGTGAGATTGACGTATAGTTCTAAAAATCTCCGCCTATCCCGATTACTCCCCGCTTAATCGTTAGGCCACCCTATCCGTCTCGATTAATGATTAATCCCCTAAAGAAATCAGTTACCCGATTACTCCGCCTAATCCGATTACTCTCCGCCTAATCTGATTACTTTCCGCCTAATCCGATTACTTTCCGCCTAATCCGATTACTCCCCGTCTAATCTTACATATCCCGATTATTTTTAGATTCCAAGTATAAAAAAACTTTTTAATTTTGTTATTCAATCAATTAAACTAGGAGTTTGTGATGTTTTACAATAACTTATGTTCAAACTTTAATAAAAATCATAAATTTGTAATAAAAATCATAAAAATTTGTCTAAAAAATACAGTTTTATGTGTTTACTGCAATTATGAAAACAATATTGGATTAATATGTTTAAAAATATTAAAATAACCTTAAAACTAATCCCCGATTAATCCCCGATTTTAATCCGATTTTCAGATTAATCGGTAGGCCCATACCGAACGCCCGACTAGCGTCTAGCGATTTTTCAAAAAAGGTATTATACTGAGTTTTTGATATGGTGTGGGCTTGTAGCATTTTTATCCTGTATTATTATATCTTTGATCTTATCTTTATTCTATTCTATATAATGTATATTGGTTTAGCACCCATCGGAGCTAGCGATCATCTTATGTTATAATCTTGTTCTAAACCGTTTTCAAACTTTGGCGTTAAGTTGCATTCATTGTAAAACCGTTTTTTTTTTTTAATAAATTTTACATTCATACAAAAAAATGTATATAGGATTTCCTTAGAAAGATCAAATTATAGTTTTCATCAAAAAAAGGAAAGATAAAATTATAGTAGTTTAATTAGTGTTTTGTTTCGTTAGTCGCATACTTTTTTTATTCATTGGAAAAATTATCTATCGATTGTAATTCTTGAAAACTAGGTTGTGATTCATTATGAAATTCTCTAGCGGTAAAAATAATATTATGAATTTAAAATCATGATAAATTTTTCGTATCATAGAGATGGTAATGGTGCTTAGAATCTAGCTTAATGTCTCTAATTTCTCCATTATCGAGTATTTTTTCGTATGATATCAATAATACTGACTATAATATATACAACCATATAGTAATGGGTTATATGTATTATTAACTAATTGGAGGTGAGATATCTTAACTAATTGGAGGTTTGGTATCCTTTGTCAGGTCTGGTAATCCAAGAACCATATTTTTAACTAAACAACGAAAATTGGAAAAACGTTTTCTTACGTCCGACCAATACTTAATTCGAGCTTTCTTGAATTTAAGCAAAATGTTGAACAATTTTGAGGAGACTTACGGATATTGTATGTCAGTAATCAGTATGTTATGTCCATTCCTTTTTTTTTCTATCTAATAACAACGAAGATTAGATCATTGCAACTCGTTCCAGAGATGAAAGGTCCTTTTATTTTTTGTCATCCGAAATTAAATAGTGTTCAGAAGAGCCATTCCTGGGGAATGTTGTTTACATAAGTGATGTTGTTTACATGAAACGGTTCTATACGAATTTTTCGTGCCAGATTATCCGTTTTTACATTAGCACTGCGAGAAATTAAAGATAAAGAGAAGGTTGAAAATTCTTCCTTGTCGTTCTGAAACTCCTCCAAATACATTGAAAACGCCGGCCATTCGGTTGGATAAGACACCATCTTCACCAGATTAGAACAGTCTATAAAGAACGCTACCTCTTGATTATCTGCACCAATCATACACTTCATCGCCCAAAGAAGGGCTTCGACTTCTGTATGTAATGGAGATAGACTTCTACGGAGGTTGGCAGCTCCCATGGTTGGCAGCTCTCCATTTGATGATGTACAGAACACCCTGTACCGGACAACTTATCACTTCCTTTCTATGACCCATACACAAAACAGCGGTATCCAGAGTAATTCGAATCAGGTGAAGCATCCCCCACTCGAGATCGAGTTACCAAATCCACAGAACCATGATTTTCATTAAGAAGCTCGATTTGAGCTGTCTGCCAAAAGTGTGCCTCTTTTTCTGCTAACCGTAATACCTCTAATGGGTCTTTATCTATATTGTCAAAGATTTTTTCATTCCTTTCCAAATATACCAGATAATCCATGGAAAAGCTAATGAATCGAATTCCGAAGGTATTTTCCAAAATAAATAATCCAAATTCGCAAAAATAGATTCCGTGAGATGAAGGTCCTTCTAAAGTTATTTAACGAGCTCGACATGAGTATAGTCAAAAATTTTGACCCACTCCGACGATCCATGAATAAACGGTCTCCCTTGTTGGAGAAACTTTCTGGAGTCTATTTATGTTTGATTCACCATCATTGTTGAGACTGTAATTTGGTCCGAAAAAGTCAGAACCTTAATAAAAGTCGGCGTCGATGCATATCCCACCGCAACCATCATCACCAACAAGTGAAAAGAAAATATAAAATGTAAAAACTGCCGTAGAATCGCCAAATCAATCACCAAACACATCATATCCGTTGCCTAAAATATGAGAATATACACCACCGGAAAGAATTGATAATCACTTTGGGAGGCAAAGAAAATCATCGTTTTTAAATTCTTTCTATTGTCAAATCTTTTTATTATGTCGGCAAATTAAATTCGATTTGTATATCCATCCCACATGCATAAATATAACTCCATATATCCACTAACATTATACAAAAGGTAAAAAAATATTGTACTTCTAGAATGAAGTAGGACAATCTAATATCAAGATAACACAGTGTAGAGTCAATTAGACATCTACTTGGACAAAATTCAAGAAATCTCATTTCTTCGGTATGAAACTAATTCAGGATACATTGGTAGGGACGTCATCTAGGAAATTTTGTTTTTAAGACAAAATTATGCATTTATTCTGATTTTTAAAAATGATGAAATCTTTTTTAAAATTTAAAATCTTATATTTTCTTTAAAAGTTTTGTTACTAATAAAGAAAGTGTTACTAATAATTGAAAGATTAGCTCGTGAAGTTTAAATAGTTTTAAAATGGAAGTGTACATAGTTTCACACAGAATTTCAAAATTAAAATGAAATGTTGTTACTAAGTTGTCTTTCAATTTTTAACAACCAAAAATATTTAAAAGTGTTTGCTATGGACATACTTTATAAATATTGTCACAATAAAATGGAGGGAGAGACTATTTAAAATATAGATCATAAAGATAGAAAAATGTCACACATGAATGGATTAGGCAGTCATGCTTTTCTTTATAGTCAATAGTCAATGTTTTTTGGTCTCCTTTTGGTAATTCCTTTTATTCCGACCTTCTCATAAATGGAACGCTGAAGAAAGACTTTTAATAAAATAAATTTTGATATAGCTCTATATGAATTTTCTATAATTAATGCAAGACTTTTATAAGATATTTATCTTAGAGTTTTACAATCTGAAATGGTATATAAGGAAATTTTGAATAGAAATGATTATATAAAGGCTGATAAACATTTGCTCTTAAACCAAAAAAAAACTAAGAATTGTCTTCACAAAAAAAAAAACTACAAATACAACAATGTCAGGACAAAACTACCATCTTGTTTATCTGCTATTAATTATTTGTCTTCTTTTTTCTCAATCAACAGGTAATATAGTCTGATATTTTTTCATATAAAAATAAAATTGTAAGAAACCTGAGTTAATTTTTTTAAAAAAATTTTCCAGCAAGCGGCTGTGAGTTCAAAGGCTTTTGTAGAACTGATGACCAGTGCAAACGCATATGCAGAGGCCATGGGATAGATACAAGGTTTCTATTGTGTGTTCCTTATTCTTCAAAGGGAGGCAAATGTTGTTGTTTACATTATGAAGGGGCTCCATCATCAAGCGAAGAAATATAGTTTTTTCTTGAATTTCTAGAATGTTACAACCATATATTTGTATCACATATGATACGATTTCAAATAATAAAAACTAAAGTTTTAATCAGTTTAATTTTTCTTGTCCAAGTACGATATTTGTTATAGTTTTAAAATATAGTCGAGAGTCAATCAAATGTTTATATTTGCGAAACACACAAAATTTCATTATTGTGGAATGAAACGGATTTATAATACATTAGCAGAGGCGTGTATCATAGACAATGTCTTCTTTAAATAGTTCAACTTAAATAGTCTCCTGCTTAGGTTATGCAAATTGGATACTCGGGTGAGGGACACTGGAAAAAGGGAAAAAAGGATGAGTAAAACAAGTTTACTCAGTGAAGAGATCAATTTTGTCCACTAAACATACAATGATCACGTTCCAAACATAATCAATAACCATTACTTAGCATAGATTCAGAATGTCTATCAATCAAACAAACAACCATTCGTCTTGCTCATAACAAGATATTTTACTTTTATTTTTAGTTCTAAGTGCTTTAACTTATGGCTACTCAAGCCTCTTTTAAATTATGGCTACTCAAGCCTACTTATTGAAGACCACGGCTCATAGCTCGATCCTTTCCTTATTGCTCGTTAGCGGTTAATGACTTGTATATGAACCCGTCGGTCCATCACAGTCCAACCTCCTCATGTATTTTTCTCTTACTCTTTAGTTTTCTCTTCTCATATACATATACATAATCACTTTTATAACTTAATATACTTTAAACATGATATTAAATCATGTCATGTTATGTATTTCACATATCATGTTTCCAACAACCTAATATTATCATACACAAAAATTCACATAAATCAACAAAGACAATTCTCGAACCTATACTCAGCAACTATCGAAGAGTATATAAGGAAAAAGATTACTGTATATCCGCAAATACCACCTTCACCTTAGCCTAGTTGAAGATGAAGAACATTTCTTTCTCCTTTCTCCTTTAGACATACTTTATATCCTATCTGCAACAACATGCTTTTTAGCTCCACTTTGGTTCTCCATCAGCTAAGACCTTACTCCATGAGTCATGAAAGCTCCTGCAAGGTTTAGGCTCAAACCGAGCTCGTTTACCCAACCAACAATACAACAGGTTACAGTTTACTCTAAATAGAACTGTCATGGAATCACACGTATAAATCAATAACTAACCGATAGAAACTTAATCCCACCGTTGAATATGTAGCCAGTAGTTTCATAAACCTCTCCACCAAATTTCGTCCCGATCAGCATGGTTTCAAACCTCCAAACGTTGTCTCGAAGAAGCAATACGAAACTGTTTTCTACAGTTGCTTGTCCTTAAAGAAACATGCATAACTTCTCGAATATAAACTCGATTCAAACTCCGTCAGCTGCTGTGGATTGTTGACGACGTGATGTTTCCATCGAAGCCTTACTCATGATCTAATTATTTCTGGTCCCACGGGAATGAGCGTTACAAAACATCAACTCGGATTTGCCTCTTTTTACTAATCCTCTTCCTTATTTGCCATGATTTGCTTCATCCCTTCTATGATTTGCTCTGTTCTTCCTCCTCATGAGAGTTTCAGTCCTTGTTTTGATTGTTAATCCTTTGATCTGACTTGAATTATGCCTCTCATCTTGGCTATAGACGTTGCCATTGATGACAACATCACAACACAATGATGACGGAAACCCCAAAACGATGGTGGCTGCTCAACTCTCTCTCTAACTCACGGCAGTGGTGGTGGTCTCATGAAGTTGGTGCTCCGGTGACTCTTTTTCAGCTCATGACCTCTTTGATTAATTGGTAGCTAGGGTTTATTTTATCTCCAACGAGAAGGAGATGCTTACATATATACGCATATACATGTCGTTTGTGGTCTTTCATTCACATGGGCTTTAAATGGGCTAATATATCATAATGTATAAAAACTAAATAGCCCAATAAATTGGGAGCGGGGTGTTACAGTAAGGTTAGATCTACTATTTCTATAGCTTCATTGCTATTTATTGTTAATTAGGTTGGTTAGTTCATCCTAAAAGTTGTGTAAATTACCAATAATTGGGTTAGATTACTATTGAGAAGTAATGTATTATTCAGATTTTGAGAGAATATTTGTTATGAGAATGTTATGGGCTGCTTGTCCATGTTTTTAAGTAGATTCAGATAGATATTTGGCAGCAAATATGGATGTTTAGGGTAAGCCTTATAGTTAGCATTGTTAAGTAATTGGTGTATGACCACTTTAATGCCCATTTGCTTTTTATCTAAAAGCTTTTTGAATTTATGGGCTGCTTGTACATGTGTTCTTAGGTTAGAGCTGCCTTTCAAATTTCAGTTCTTCTAATTTATTTTCCTGAGTTGAGCTTTTAGCTTAGTTGCTTGGAAGGGCCGTGCTAAGGTTTTTTTTTTTGGGGCTTAAGGCGAATTTAAAAAGTAGGAGCCTTTCCAGTAAATTGTTTTATGAAAAAAGTAATACAGTTTTGAAACGACCCACATAAAATTATTCAAAACAAATCAATAATTTCAAATGACTAAGAAATCAATAGTAGAATAAAAAAACTTCGATAACGCCAGCGCCTAGGCCTGGGCAGTCGGTTCAACCCGAAATAAACCGAACCGACCGAACCGAAATTTTCGGTTTCGGTTTCTATTTAGTTTTGAGGCGTAAACCGATCGGTAGAATTATAATTTGAGTTCGGTTGTCGGTTCGGTTCGGTTCGGTAGACGATAACCGATCGGTTTCTTCGGTTTAAGGAAACACATATAAAAACACAAAAACCCTAGATCTATTATTCTTCTAACCTCTTCTTCTCACGAAAGAAGAATTCCTTCTTCTCCATCTCCTTTCACCTTTTTCTCCTTCTCAGTTCTCTTCGTCTTTTCTTAAACTTCTTCTTCTCCTCTCTCTCTTTCGTTGAGATCGTGCCCTACAAGAAGCTTTTCCTCCTTCAATCCCTAATTACAATTTTCAGAATTGTAAGTTCTTAGCTCTACCGCTTTATCGTTAATACATAGTTGTCATAAAATTTTGATGCTTGATAGCGGCTTTGATGTCTACTTCTCGCTAATCGGAGTCCTTTCATGTTTGGGGATTTATTATAATGATAGATCTGGTGGCTTGGAAGAGAGTAGCAACGGCGAGTTTTGGGACCATAGTAATTGAGAAGGATGTCGAAGGATCTGTAATGGTGGCGGTGACGCTCGCCTTATTCACTGTCATAGCAGCCGTAGTTCACGTGGTTAGGGCGACCGGCCCCGTCACCGCCGTCGTAACTTTTTGTGTTGTTGGAAACCCTAAATTTTGATGGGTTTTGTTAGTTTGTAAATCGGCCCAAAGTGTTAATTAGGCCCATTGTTTTATTGGTTTGTAAATGTAAATTAGTTAATTGAGCCCATTATTGTTATTTTGGTCTATTTCGGTTCGAATTAACCGAAGTAGAAAAAATTTCGGTTAATTTCGGAACAGATTTTAAACCTTATAACCGAACCGAAAAAACCGAGTTCCGAACCGAACCGAACCGAATTTTTATTCGGTTCAATTCGGCAGAATTTTAGATAACCGAAAAACTCAAAAAACCGAATAAACCGAACCGAATAAACCGATTTAACCGAACGCCCAGGGCTACCAGCGCCGATAAAGAGTGCGGAGGTCGATAAACGAAGATAAAGAAAATACTTTAGAAAATGGTATCCAATCTAGAATTAAATGAGATTTTCATTTTTCTTCTTTCAAAACCCAATCCAAAAAAATTATTTTACTTATTCGAATATTTTTTATTTTGGAATTTTTATTTCATTTTCAGTTGGAGATCTCATTACCCTTTTTGTTTTCCAATTCTAGGTTTCCTTTAAAAGCCTAATTAAAAAAAAAAAATCAAATAACATCAAATAGTTAAATTTAAATTTCACAAGCCACGCAAACAATCTTGATAGACCATATTTTCAAAATTTGGGGGCTAAAATTTTGTATATTTCGGAGACCTGAGGCAAATGCTTGAAAAGACCGATCGACAATGCAGATGAAAAAAGCAAAAAAAGCTATCAAATGCACCAAAGAAGAAAAAAATGATGACAAGAGTGAAAAAGGGTTCAATGATAAGAAAAGAAATATAACTTTTTTACAAATAGTTGAATAGAAATTGATTATTTAAAGGCAGATAACAAAATGATAGAAAAAAAAAATGTTCCTTACAGACTGTTCTAAAATCAAATAGGAACAGTGCAGATAATCAAATTATGCTATAAAATCAAATTTGTTCTAAAATCAAATAGGAAAACTAAAAATGATAGAAAAAAAAAAAACAAACTATGCAGATAATCAAGAAGTAGTGTTCCTTACAGACTGTTCTGATTTGGTGAAGATGGTGTCTTCTCGAACCGAATGACCGGCGTTTTCAATATTTTTGGAGGAATTTCAGAGAGACAAGGAAGAATTCTTTACCTTTTCTTTATCTTTAATTTCTCGTAATGCTAATGTAAAAGCGGATAATCTGGCACAAAAAGTTCGTACAGAACCGTTTCATATCACATATGTAAACAACATTCCCCATGAATGGCTCTTCTGAACTCTAATTAATTTTCGGATGACAAAAATAAAATAAAGAAAAAGCAAACTACATAGGCAATATGATCACTGTCTCTAACAGGCCGTCGTATGACAAAAATAAAATAAAGGCCGCCAAAGAAAAAAATAAAATAAAGGCCGCCAAAGACGTTTTTAAATATGGAATCCGCAAGATTATTGTCTCTGGGTTTGGAACGTGCATTTGGACCGATCCTTGGATTCCAGATTCCCCGGCTCACCCCCGAAGGACTTACTATGGAGAGAGACCCATTGGTCTATGTCAATACTTTGATCGACTTTGAGATGAAGCAGTGAAAAATGGACCGTCTTTGGGAATTGTTACCCTGAGAAGAGATTACCCTTATACTAGGGATAAAACCGAGCCGTAATGTCTCGAGTGATGGATACAGTTCGACCATGACAAAGTCAGACAATTACTAAGTCAAATCTGGATACGAGACCGCGAGAACCATTTCTCGTCCTGTCTGCCACTGTAACGCCCCAAAAATTCTGAAAGAATTATCGAAACATTACTAAAGAAAATAAATAAATAAAAAATGTCTTAAAATTTAATATTAAAACCTTGATGTCTCGCTCTACACCCGGATCCCAAGTATCACGAACAAGTTTGATTCTCCAACTTGAAAGAACCTGCGGAAATCAGATGACATCAGTGATTGACTATCGTCGAGTAAGCACAAATAAATATGGATCCTATGTACCAGCACGGTCTGATCCCACAACAAAAAATGTTCACGCACTGGTACCTAATTCTATTTTGGATTAGAGATGACTCACATAATCATCAAAACAATTCGCTTATCATTAACTTATTCACCAAAATAATATTTGCAAACATCAGAAGAATCAAAATGCTTTGGCAACCGTGCCCGCGGTCTCAGCTAAGCAACGCGTACTAGTGTGGACTAAGCATCTAGTACCGCTTTGTGCGCGTACAGTCGTTGGTCTCATGAAAGACGGTTTCAGCAGACGAATGATACAGTAGCCGCACATCCCATACCATACACAAAATTATACATATATTGGATATAACAGCAGCAGAAAATCTCAATAGCGGTGCCGCCGACTAAAGAGTACGCAACTATGACTGACCGATCACTAGTCCGTAATTGACACTCCGTTGGTCCAGCAGAGAGAGATACAATGGTTACAGAAGGGGCATCACTCCGAACCAAACAACAAACTCGCTACCATGGTACCCGATTTTATATCTATATATAATATAGTATACTATATAATGAAACACAACAATTCTGTTTACGAGCAATCATATTACTAACAAAACCAAAAAATTCATCAAACTGATTAACATTAAATTTCACCTAGTCTAATCACGAGTCGATTCCAATCCCTTTAACCGATCTAGTCAATTTATCTCCTATATTAATTCTTTGATGTTCATTAAATTATAATAACAACGAGAGACATAATGACGCAATATACTCACGTTTTATAACCAAGTCAAACCACTCACTCACAATTACAATAGAAACGAACGATTCCAAATGAATAATAAGATAATGAAAAGCAATTTTATCAAACAAAAGAAGAACAAAAGAACTCATATCTAACAAACGTAGAGAAAACAATTTAACTATCAACAAAAGACAAGAGAACTCTACAGCTAGTAACATATAACAAATTTATTAATCCAATAAAGGTAAAGACAAAGAAAAACTCACAGATAATCGATCCTAGGTTTCGGTGTAGTCAACAGAGGGACTCCCACACAATTCTCTTTTATGCCAATATATACCACTAAGATTTTCCTAAACCAGCAAAAGACAAAACCCTAATGCACACTTATTCAATTCATATAAATGGGCTACTATAATAGCTAAATGGCCCAGTTTAATACGGAGTAAAAAAATCATTTTAAAACAGTTAAATGGATAATAATAATCATACAACAACTTTAACATTGGCTACTTGCTTCTAATATAGTTGATTTAGCATAGTATTTTGCTTTTATTACTCAGCTAATTAAAGACTGAGGCTCGTTAAGCAATCTTCAGCTTTGTTTTGCCAATAAAACAATATTGGATTTCTTCAGATCTCTAAAACCTATGTCTCTGTTCTGCTTTAAGTGGGTCATCTTATCCCATGTAATCCATGGCATTATGTATTTTTCCTTCGTATTTGATCACCAAAATTTTCTTATTTGTCCACAAACTTTAGATGTGAGTCTTTTAGGTAAAACAAAACAGAACAAGTGTTGTTGCTAAAGATTTGGTTAGCACTTCTTTTCTGGCATGAGACAAGAATTTGATATACCAACTTACAAGCTTATTCTGCATTCTTTGGGAAATATAAGAAAAACATAATATTGTTTAGGTAGACCAAGATATAAACCTTCATACTTGAGATATTCCGGTCAGATTAATATTTGTTTTCCTATTTTGAAGTCTAAATGGCATCATTTGTAAATACGAAGAAAATATGGTCTAAGGTTATTCTTAAAATTTATGTGTTGTTATAGTAATCAAGATCTTGACTAAGCTATTAGAGTAATTTAGGATTTTGTGTCATTCTGTGTAGTTTGTCATTTGTTTATTTCTATATAAATTCTGATATTAGAGGCAAAGGAAATGGCCTAATATGTGCAAGAAATTTAAAAGATATATCATATGTTGACTTCTTGCAATCTCAAATGTATATCTATAAATTTTTGTTAAAAATTTATATAGGATTAGATTATATAAAGGGATATAACCATTTGCTCTAAAACCAAGAAAGAAGAACTAAACTTATATTTTCTGAAAAAGAGCTAAAAATACAATAATGTCTACACAAAAAATTTACCTTGCTTCTTTGCTATTCTTTATCTGTCTCGTTTTTCCTCAATCAACTGGTTATATTTTATTCCTCTTGCTTTTTTCATATCAAATCAAATAATGTTAGAAAATGAGATAATTGATACGTTTTTTTTAATATATTTTTCAGCAATCGTATGTAACATCGAAGGCCATTGTATAACTGATGAAGACTGCATCAACGCATGCATAACTGGGGGAGATCCATTCTTTTGCGTTAAATCAGGCACAAGTAAAGGCAAATGTTGTTGTATAAAGAAAAATGGTTTTGTACTAGAATGATACATTCATATATTTGAATCATAACCTATCGTAAGATTTAAAATCAATAAAAAAATTGATATTAATTTTAGTTTTTCTCATATAAGTATGATATATTTGTTTACCATCATCATATACAAAAAAGGTTGAAAGAAAAAAATCATTGATTCATTGTAGTGCAAGATTAGTCTAACTTGTTAATCTATTAAAAGTGTCTACCACATTGAGACTGAAAAAAAAAATAGTATTCTAAAAAGAACTCAGTTTTGAAAAAAGTAATTTTGTAGTTTAGCCTTTTAGGTTTTTATGTTCTTTTTTCAAGTGTTTGGAATTAGATCAAAAAAATTAAACCACAATAAAACTACAACATTTCAACGGCATATATAAATTCATAAAACAAAACTGCTATTTACAAGTGGTAAGCAAACAATTCAATAAATAAACAAAACAGTCCACCTTGTCATAAACTATATAATCCCGAGAACTAAGCCAGCGGATACAACAAATCCCCAAAAACAAAGCCGACGGTTAACAAGACAACCCCAGACGCTAAACCCTAAGAACAAGGAAGCATTTGAGCTAAAACTAAAAGACAAAGCAAATCAAAACAAGTAAAGGCAACAAAGACCGAAACTGAAACACGGGCAAGCCAAACAAAGGAAATCGGAATCAAACCACAATACTACGCCAACCACCATGCCAGAAACGGAGGAGAGCCTTCCACAAATGCCACCGAAAGGGATGAAAATCCCAACTGACAGAGGACGGTTCCACCTATAACAGATGAAGACTACCATACAAAGCAAGTGTTCAGAAGAAATCCGCTCAGCAAGACGGGATCTAGGCCAAAGGACAATCTAGACCACAACAGAGCTCCTGAACACGGCGAATTCGAATTCGATAGAAAACCAGAATACGACGCCTCGTAGATTCCAAAAACAAACATATTAGATCTCGAACAGATCTATAAAGTAGAGACAAGGAACGAACCCAATCCACCCAGACCACACCGAACAGAATACCGGCAAGAGATCGAACCGGGAAGAACCAAAGGCAAACTCCAAAAAGGCAAGGGCGGAAAACGATAAAACGAAAAGACCACAAAAGACCGAAACCAATGAAGCGACCACCAACATAATCGACTAACACAACCAAAATGCAACCCAACGAATGGAAAGACGATGAGGAGAAAGAGCAACAAACCGCAATCAAGAGTATTAAAACCAAACCCACGATCACCCTTCAAAGTCAGAACCGCCACACCAAGAGCATGGTAGCATAGACAGAACCTCAACACCAACTCCGTACCTCAAACGAGACACCAAGGAGAGACATCATACAAGGGGAAGGAAGACACAGATCTGGGTTCAAAACCGGCGAAACCCAACGTCACAGCCCACAAGACCACCTCTATGTGGATGTCGGATTCACACACTCAAGTATTTTTATTAAGTAGGAAAGATTACTCTTGAGGGACAAAAATGAATATGTAAAAACTTATAAATTGCTACGAAAATTGCTATAGTCTTTCTTTCTTCAGAGGAAGATCCCTTTACATGGCCATTGGCCTCCATATTTATACATAGAGAAACGACATTAAAAATGAGTAATTAAGTACAATTATTCCTTCTTAAATGTGTCCGTTTTGATTCCTTGATTTTAATGCTCAACGTTTAAATTTGAGTTGACTCTGGTCTTTATGGGCCTCGCCTTTCGGCCCAAATGTCCTTGGACCGACTTAACCATGACCTCGTCTCCGGACTCGTGTCGAGATGCAGTCACTTCGGACCCTCTTTATGTTGACAACCACTCCGACCGTTCCTTTGGCTCACGGATCCGACGGGCTTTATCCTTTATGGGTCTTCATCTTGTCTACGTGGCAATCTTTGGTTGGTCCCGGACTTCTGGTGCGGGATCCGACACCAACAATTAGCCCCCCAAGTTCTTCGAAGTGTCATTCCAATTCGGAGGACTTTAAATGCTTTAAATGACCAAAGATTGCGCTCGAGAATCTCTCTGATTTCCCGCCGAAAATCTCATTACTCCTTTAATTTCGGCACTAGCCATTTTTACCCGAGTGACATCTGTCATCATTATGACCGTATATTAATTAATTACTATTAAAACGGGAAAAAACCTTCCCACTTCCCACACAACTTCCGAGGCGGTTTCATCATTAGCTTGTGTGAGGTAACTTCTTTTCACCATTACTTTCTTCTTTTACTTTTGTGCTTTAATCAAAACTTCTCTCTACTTTTCTTCACCGAACCTCTCTTCGCCGGATCTTGAATTTTTCATTTTTCTCCGATGACTTCCGATTCTGAAAGACCTGAATCTCCGTCTTATGATGAGAGGCGTTCTAGTAATGATGAATGCACTCGTCCTAACGATATCGCCGGTCCTCATTACAAATCCACCTGTACTCTTCAATCCCTTGAGCGATTAAAGGGGCTTTGTCAAATTCCTCCTGGAATTATAGCGGAGGCGCAAATAGCCGATCCTACGGAATCCCCGGAGAACCACCGTGACGGCTACTTTTGTGTTTACGAAATTTACTTCAAGGGCTGCGGATTGACCTTCCCCCTTCCCGAAGCCCTAGTTCGATTCTTGGCGGCTCTCGAGATTGCTTTACCTCAATTAACCCCCAATCTCCTCCGAACCATCCTCGGGACTATAACCGTTGCGGCGGAGGCTGGCTACATCATTGGAGTCCCCGAGCTGAATGAACTCCTAAGCGTAAGGAGTTCATCAAAGAAAACTGGGTACTTCTCGGCGTATCCAAATGCCAACAGGAACGTCATTTCGCACCTCCCGAACAAGGATGAAAACTGGCACCATCCTTGGTTCCTGATTAAGAAAACTCCTGCTTCGATTGGGAATCTTTCCGATGTACTCCCATCGAAGTGGTCTACGAAGCCTGGTAGAGACTAGGTCGTATATTCCTTTCCTGTTTATTTTATTATTTTTTACTGACCAAATTAGTTGTTTCACTTCGCAGCTCTTATCGCTTCAACTCTCCCGACTGAAGAATTTGTCAAGTTCTTCAGAACAATCCTCGAAGGGGAAACCCTTTGGAATTCTTTCACCCTCGATCGGTTTATCGAGGCCAACCGAAAACTCAGGATGAGTCCTCCCAATCTACTTCATCGTCTTCCGCCTCCTCCCTCAACTCAGGGCATGTCAGCTCGGGCCCTTACTGCCCAGCGTAAGAAACTTTCCAAGCCGATAGCAGAGGCTTGTGATGAAAACAAGGCGTTCCTCGCGGTCGCCATTGATAAAAAAGATTACAGCAGGACCCTGCTGGTTGATGATAACAGCTCCGAGGGAGCCAGATCCGTTGCTGCTTATAGGCTAACACCTCGTCGTGAACGTCATGACGAACGTTCTCCTCTGAGAGAGCGGTCTCCTCGTCGTGATTCTCCTCGGCCTCCCCGAGACGATTTCAGCAACGAACCACTTAAGAATTTGGTTCGTAGGAAGAGGGACAAGTCGTCCCGTGGTGACTCGTCTCCGCGAAGGGAGAAATCAAGGGCCCGGACTGATTGTTCACCTCGATCATCCCCTCCCACTAAACCAATGGGTCCTCCCCGACCTGTTGACATGTCTTCTTCTTCTCAGCCCGACAGCGAAAAGACTGCTCGGAGTGCATCTCCTAAAAAGGGAGATTCTGAATCTCGAGATGCTTCCTCGAGGTTAAAACCCGTTCTTGTCCCTCAAGTCAAATCGCTTTCAGGTTTGGTGATTTACCCATACTCTAACGTTTTTGTTTCTATTAAGATTCCAATTTTTACAATTCTTCCTTCTTCGCAGCTATGGAGAAAGAAGGCAGCGTCTTCCGATGCTTCAAGACCCGATCGGGTTCGATCTTGCCAGACTTCGACAAGTGGCGCCCTGCGATTCGTGAACGCTATTTGCTTCACGCGCATCACTCATCTCGGGTTAGTTCCGTTTTTTTTTATTGCATTGCCATTCTGCGAACTGACTCGCCATCCCGGGTTTATGTATAATGCCAGGCTCATAGCAAACTTAACGACATAATCGAACATTACGAAGGGTTGGTCATTGGACGGGAGAAGGAGATTGACATGTGGAAGAAGAAACTCTCTGCCCTTGAGGCTGAACTCAGTTCTTCTGCCGGCTCCAAGCACGATCTGGAGGACAAGGTCGACAGTTTAACATCCGAGCTTGCGCAGATAAAGGGGGAGCTGCAAGACCAGTACGATCGGAATTACAAACTCCAGGATGAACTTTCTGGTGTTCAAGGTAGACTTCATGAATCCAAATCAACCGCCGATACCCTGAACAACCAACTTATCGAGCTTGACGCGAAGTACAAGGCGCTAGCCAAGTTGCGTGATTCCGAGTTGGCAAGGTCGGCATCGAAAGCCAGAAAGGAGGTTAAGGGACGCAGGATGGAGTTGATCCAAGGGGCCATCCGCTTCATGCAGACCGAGAAGGCTAGGTCAGACTTGGAATCAGACATCAAGGAGCATGAGAGCAACCTGATTCTGTTGGATCAAATCCATGAAACAGATTTCTCCGAGGAGCAAGAAAGGACCGAACTGTTAACTAATCTTTCTGAAAAACGGAGTCGCTTGGCAGCTCTTCCCACTTCGACCTTCAACCCGCTTGACTTTGAGGAATTCTTCACAGAATCTCCTCCTATAAGTGAATCGGATCTAGACTGGGCAGGTAACTTTTGGCTCTTGATACTCATTACCTTTTCTTACCTTGTACCTTTGATTGACTGAAATTATTTTTCCTAGGCTCAAGTGAAACGGAAGACGTTGTCCCACCCGAAGTTCCTGCGGTGCCGGAGGATGGTTGTACCGCGGAGGGTGGTCAGGGGGCTTCATCTGATCAAGCGCCAATTAAGGAGGCGAGTGAAACTTTGACAACTGAGCCGGAGTCCGAGGTGGAGGTCGATCCGTAGTGGCTGTGTCCACTTTAAACTGGGGATTGTTCCACTTAGTTTAAACTTAATTTCGAACTTATTTTTTGCCTAAGGAGGCTTTAATATTTCTTTTGAACAAGATATTTGCCTGAGGAGGCTTTTAAACCTTTCTAGGTTATGACCCAAGGGGGTTTGGTTAAAACTATGTGCGGGTTTGCAAAGTCCGCTTTTAACCTTTTGTGGCCTTGTGGTTATACTTTTGAGATTTTTAGGCTGATCAGACCTTTCTCTTTAGAATGCGAGAACTGAGCTCGGCTTAAAGCGAGTT